GCAGAGCCACTGAATGGGAGAGACAGCTGCAGCAGGGTTCAAAGAAGGGCTAGGAGTTGGCCTCAGCAGACATCAGCCATTTTTACCCCAATCAACAGATGGAATGCCCCAGGCTCCATATCAGAGGGGCAGTTTATTGTGGTTTCCTTTCCAACGTCCACATGTTTTCCATTCGTCTTCTCGGTCATTAACCGTCACCTAACACTGGGTAAAATGTAAGAGGCTGCCCTTTGAAATACTGGCTGGGTCACTAAGGCCATTAAACACTTGTTTCCAGTGTTGTTGAAGGCAATGCAGAGATCAAGGGTCAATGACAGAGAAATGTTTAAGCCTTGATTGGCCTAAGGAAGCCAAAAGCTACAGAAATCCTGTGGGCAGCTTTCCACCTTCCTCTTTCATCAATTTCAGGGCCTGAGAAAACAACAGCCGGAATCCACCCGCATGACCTCAACAAAGCCAGAGACAGTGCATTCTGAGTGCACCCCTGACACGCCTCTCAGGGGCATCGGTGAGGGCAGCTCACACAGCCTTCCCCGGTGTTCTCCTCTTGACTATTTCTGACTCACTCAATCGGTTTTCTGGCTTTTTTAGCCCACATGTGGATGTTATAAGATGATACTAAATGATATCACCCCCAAGTTCTGTTGAACACTTGGTACTTTCCAATCGAATTTCTCTTTAAACAAACTACTCCTCTACAGAAAGCACAGCCAATGCACTGGCAGGGAGCGAAGGCACAAAACAAGGGGGCTTCCAGGAGAGATGCTGTGCTCCCATCAGGTAAGAAGCTGTCATCACCGTGGACAGACGCATTTGCAGAAATGAGGCTTCCTTTGGAGAAATATTCTAACCTAAGAAGTAAAACAAAGGTATGCATCCTGGGGCCGGTTCTTTGGCGCAGTGGGTTAACGCCCTGGCCTGAAGCGCCGGCATCCCTCATGTGCACCAGTTTGAGACCCAGCTGCTCCACTTCTGATCCAGCTCTCTGCTATGGCCTGGGAAAGCAGTAGAACATGGCCCAAGTCCTTGGGCTCCTACACCCACATGGGAGACCCGGAAGAAGCTCCTGGCTCCTGGCTTCGGATCCGCACAGCTCTGGCTGTTGTGGCCAATTGGGAAGTGAACCAGTGGATGGAAGACCTCTCTCTCTCTCTCTCTCTCTCTCTCTCTGCCTCTCCTTCTCTCTGTATAACTCTTTCAAATAAATAAATAAATCTTAAAAAAAAAAAAAAAAGTATGTGTCCACCACTCACCTGGCTTGAAGAGAGGACTGGCGCCAGCTCTGTCTGGCCCCATCGTGCATGAGTAGTATAATGAAGGCCCTTAGGTGACCAAATGTGGGAAGGGGGCTTCCCACATGTCATGAGCAGTACAGACGGCTGAACATAGTCCTACGGCACAGGTGGATGTCTTTGGGCCTGGCTAAGCATCACTGTGACTACAGCCAACAAGTGCTGCTCACCACAGGCAAGCGGGACATCCAATCTAGGTCCTCAGTGACATGTGGAGGTGAACAGGCATGGGGAGCTGATGAGTTGTGGTCTCCGTACCAACGGAGAACAGCTGCCTCTCTTCCTGTCCTTGGGGTCTCGCCCCTCTTGGTAACTCCAGCCCATGGAATCTTTACTCTGCAGGGCAGAGCTCTCTGTGCAGTTATGCAGTTCATGCTTCTGACTCTTTCTGTCTTGCACCTGCCCCTGGGACTTTTGAACTTGAACGCTACACATTTGTCTTGTAGTCTCTGCTTCAAGAGTGACATCCTTCCCCTACAGCAGCGGATGACTCATACTGAGTGTTCTGGTCTGGGAGGAAGATCCTCCGGGTGCAACTGAAGAGAATCAGAGAGCACAAAGCTGAAAGTGGTGTGTGGGGGTGTGGGAGGGATTGTGAGAAGAGATGCAATCCTTTATAATATCCTGATAAAAAGCAAAACTGCTGTCCCAAGGAAGCTGTACCACACAGCTAGTACGGGAACACACTTCTTCAAGAAAGAGGCATGGGCCGTTGCCGTGGCTCATTTGGCTAATCCTCTGCCTGTGGCGCCGGCATCCCATATGGGTGCTGGTTCTAGTCCCGGCTGCTCCTCTTCCAGTCCAGCTCTCTGCTGTGGCCAGGGAAGGCAGTGGAGGATGGCCCAAGTGCTTGGGCCCTGCACCCACATGGGAGACCCAGAAAAAGTTCCTGGCTCCTGGCTTCAGATCAGCGCAGTTCCAGCCATTGTGGCCATCTGGGGAATGAACCAGTGGATGGAAGACCTCTCTTTCTGTGTGTCTCTCTCTCACTGTCTAACTCTGTCAAATAAGTTTAAAAATTTGAGAGAGAGAGAGAGAGAGAGAAAGAGAGAGAGAGAGAGAGAAAGAAAGAGGCATGGGACTCTAGGAAGAGGTGTCATCAGGACCATTACTACCTAACCCCACCCCTGCCCCCCCCACACACACACAAGAAGCACAGGCTCTAGCTACAGCCAGTCCTTGCCTTAAATTTTGAATGATGCTTAGAAAAATACTGACCAGGAAACATGTAATACAATTTTCCTTCATGGTGAATCAACAGAGCAGACCCGACTTTCTAATTACTATCGACATGTGGAGACCAATAAGCATCCATTTCTGGGAGGTAGCATCTAGTACAGCAGTGAAGACGCTGGTTAAGAGCCCCACAGCCCTCACTGGAGTGCCTAGATTCACATTTTGGCTCTGTCTCCTGACTCCAGCTTCCTGCTAATGCAGTATCTGGAGGGCAGCAGCTGCTAGGTCAAGTAATTGGGTTCCTGCTACTTACATGAGAGACCAGGATTATGTTACCTGCTCCCAGCTTTGCCCTAGCCCAGCCCCAGCCATTGTGGGCATTTAAGGAGTGCTCTCTGTTTCTTTCTGTCTCTTTGTTTCTTAAATAAGTCAATATATTTTTAAAGAAGTATACACTTCTGCAAACAGAAATCAGAAAGCTGTCTCTCTCTTGATCCAAGGAAAAAGGCTCTTTCATCAAATAGAAGTTTTTAAAGTTGGAATATTGGCAATATGCAGAACTCTTCAATATGGAGTTAAAGAAACTGAAAAAGAGATGGCTACTTATGAATTCATCTACAATTTTGCCAAAGTTTTAGCTGAGTACTTCAGCCAACAGGTAAATTAAATATAATATTTAATTTAGGTAAAGTATCCATTATTTTGGATGAGATGGTGTTAAAAGGGTGCACGGTAGAAACTAGCCAGGCAAGAATTCTTGTCCCTCTACCATTTTTTTTAAATTATTGTTTATTTGATATTCATTTATTTTAATTTTACTTGAAAGAGAGAGTGAGGCAGACAGACACATAAAGACACATTTTACATCCCCTGATTCACTGCCAAAATGCCTCCAACATCTGGGGCTGAGCCAGGCCAAAACCAGGAACATGGAACCCAATCCTGGTCTCCCATGTGGGTGGCAGGGATCCAAGCACTTGAGTCATCCTCTGTTACCGCCCAGTTTCCATTAGCAGGAAACTGGGATTGAAAGCACAGCAGAACATGAACCTGGGCACTCTAATATTGGCTGCAAGCGTCCCCGGCAGTGTCCTAAGCACTGTGCCTAATGCCCACTCCTAATTCTTGATGTCAGTAACCTGAATAGAAGCTTCTGTCAGACAATGATTTATAGGAAATATACACCATGGTATATGTCTAAACATGTGCAGCTCAAAATAATCTGGAAGCCCACACACTGCAAATTGGGGTATCCATCCAAAGACATTATAAATAGATGTTTTCCACAGTTTCTAAATGGAAAACAAAACTGCATTTCAAAATATGGAAAAAGGTACCCTGGTCCACTGTCGGTGGGAATATAAACTGGTGCAGCCACTGTGGAAGACAGTATGGAGATACTTCAGAAATATGAATATAGACCTACCACATGATCCAGACATCCCACTCCTGGGAATTTACACAAACCAAAAGAAATTGGTATATGAAAAGGTTATCTGTACTCCCATGTTCATTGCAGCACAATTCACAGTAGCTAAGATATGGAATCAACTCAGCTGTCTATCAACTATTGACTAGATAAAGAAATTATGTTATATATATACTGTGGAGTACTACTCAGCTGTAAAAAAGATAGAAAGAAAAAGAGAGAGAGAGAGAGAGAGAGAGGAAGGAAGGGAGGAAATCCTGTTTTTTACAACAAGATGGACACAACTGGAAACCATTATACTCAGTGAAATAAGCCAGTTCAACATAACGAATAAAGTACCTAAAATATAATGCATTGGAGTGAAATAGACATTTTGCAATCCGATGACTGTTTACAGTCCTTATCTCTTCCACTGAGGAACAGTGTTTTTTTTCTCTTCATACTATTTATTGAACTCTTTTTACTTAGTATAGGTTAACTATATAATCATTAAGTAAACTAAAAATAGATCTTTGTAAAAATTAAAAGTGGGAGTGTGAGAGGGAGGAGGAAGAGGGGTTGGAGTGTGAGCAGGACGGATGATGGGGGGAGGGAAGTATACTATGTTCCTAAATCTGTATATATGAAATACATGAAACTTGTATAACAAATAAAATTTTAAAATTTAAATAAAGTTAAATGTGATATGACTTAAAAATTTTTATAGTGGATTAGGCCTCTAGACATCATAAAATGATTGCTAATCCTCAGGACAAGTCTATAGGCAGATGGAGGTAATCCCATTATGTGCATTAAGAAACCAAAAACTACCAAGTTCAGAGAACCTGAACGTTCATCTAACATTTTCAAAGGCCACAGCACATGACTACACCATGTTGCTCTGTTGCTCTGTTGGTTGGTATTTAGAGATTGTATGACTTGCTCCTACTAATTTAAGGCAGGAATTAAATGTACAAGACTAACTGTGCTAAAATCCATGTGTGATCCAGAACTGTCCATCTCCACCTTAGATTGTCTTACTTGTTGGTCAGGTATCCTTTAATATTTGGATGAAATCTTATTCCCCTTAATATACTGGTTCCACTGCCAAAAAGTGCCACATCTTTTTTTTTGGTATGTGTGAGATTTAATTTATTTATTTGAGAAGTGGAGTTACAGTGAGAGGGAGGAACACAGAGAGAAGTCTTCCATCCACTGGTTCACTCCTCAAATAGCCACAATGGACAGAGCTAGAAGCCAGAAGCTTCTTCCAGGTCCCCCACCTTGGTGCAGGGGCCTAAATAGGTGGGCCCTTTTCTACTGCTTCCCCAGGCCATAGCAGAGAGCTGGGTCTGAAAAGGAGCAGCCAGGACTAGAACTGGTGCCCATATGGGATGCCGGGGCCACAGGTGGCCACAGCACCAGCCCTTCCATAACACATCTTAAGCTTAAAATATGTTACTTGGGATTTTAACCTACCATTTAATATTTCTGTACTTAGATTATTTTTTTACTAAGACAAGTTAAATAGGTAAAACATTGACAAAGTACAAAATTCAACAGGTATAAAAAGGTACATAGTAAAGATTCCCTTTCCATATTCCCTCCTCTGTTAGCCCTGTTTCCCCTTGGTGGAACCAATCAATGTTATTTCCAAAGATAACTCATGCATATACACTATACGTTCTGCCTCCTTTCTTCCAGAAATAATAATAAGCATTTAATATACACTGAAAAAATGTACAAAGAAAAATTTTCTCTAGATTGAAAACAGATTGATGGTTTTGATTTATTTATCTTATTTATTTGAAAGGCAGAGAGAGACAGACATTCTCTGGTTCACTTCCCAAATGCCCACAACAGCAGGGACTGGATAATGCCAAAACCAGGTATGCAAACTGGGTCTCCCACATGAGTGGCAAGGACCCAACCACTTAAGCCATTACCTGCTGCCAACCAGAGTATACATTAACAAGAAGCTGGAATCAGGAGTGGATCTGGGACTGGAACCAAGGCACTCCAACATGAAATGCAGGCATCCCCCATGCTGTCTTAACCACTATACCGAATACCCACTGCGGAGAGACAAGTTTTGTTTTCTAATTGTAAGCATTTTTTCCTATTTCTTTAAATTTTGTTAAGTACCTTAATAATACTTTTTGGGGTCTGTTTTCTTTGCCAAATTAAATTCAAGAAAAGCATGATGGTAGTGATAAAGAAAGTATGGCAGGGGCCAGCGCTGTGGCGTAGTGGGTAAAGCCACCACTTGCAGTGCCAGCATCCCATATCGGCACCAGTTCGAGTCCCAGCTGCTCCATTTCCAATACAGCTCTCTGCTATGGCCTGGGAAAGCAGTAGAAGATGGCCCAAGTCCTTGAGCCCCTGCACCCACATGGGAGACCTGGAAGAAGCTGCTGGCTCCTGGCTTCAGATCCACACAGCTCTGGCCATTGTGGCCAACTGGGGAGTCAACCAGAAGATGGAGGACCTCTCTCTCTCTCTCTCTCTCTCTCTCTCTCTCTGCCTCTCCTTCTCTCTGTGCAACTCTCTCAAATAAATAAATAAATAAGTCTTTAAAAAAAAAAGTGTAGCAGTTCTCTATCAGTCAATACATGGCTAAACTTGACTTAAAATAAACTATCCTGCCCCACTTACGCGGTAAGGTTTGTTACTGTGGGGTTATGTGTTCTTGTTCACATGGTTTTTTGCAGGGCTGTAGGTAAGCTGTGTGGCCTTCATGTGGAGAAGAAAGCAGGAAAAGTAGCTGAACGTGGTGTAGTTCTGTGCAATCCAGGCTGGACTACAAATATCCTGCTACAAACTTGACCAAGAGACTCAGATTTTGGGAAACACACTCTGATGGGACAATTCGCAGCTTGTCCTACACCAGCATTGTCCAACAGAAATATGACCTGAGTCACATATGTAATTTTACATTCCTAGCAGCCACATTTAAAAAGATAAAATTAGGGGCCGGCACTGTGGCGCAGCAGGTTAAAACCCCAGCCTGCAGCACCAGCATCCCATATGGGCACAGAAGAGGCTGCTCCTCTTCTGATCCAGTTTTCTGCTACAGCCTAGGAAAACAGTAGAAGATAGCCCAAGGCTTTAGGCCCTTGTACCTGCATGGGAGACCCGGAAGAAGCTCCTGGCTCTTGGCTTCAGATCAGCTCAGCTCTAGCTGTTGCAGTCATTTGGGGAGTGAACCAGCAGAATGGAAAACATCTCTCTCTCTCTCTCTCTGGCTCTACCTCTCTCTGTAACTCTGTCTTTCAAATAAATAAAATAATTCTTTAAAAAAAATAGATAAAATTAAATAGGTAAAATTAATTTTAACATATTTTATTTAACCCCATATATCTCAAAGGATGTAAACATAGAATCAATATTAAAAATCAAAGAAATCGTTTACATTTTTTGGTACTGTGAGAAATCCAAAGTGCATTCTATATTTGGAGCACAACTCAGTTCTGAGTATATTCATTTTAAATGTTCAGTGGCCACGTGTCTGGTGGTTACCACATTGGTCCAAGATTCTATTCCATCTCTCAAAGGTTCCTAATTGGATTGAGCCCCAGCGTCCTCAGTGATAATCTTCTGAGTGATGCACCCTACCTAGAGTTCTTCCCTTCCTGGGCTGACTTCTCCAGTCCCCTACCAATGCTTCCCGGGATCATCCACCAAACGAACCACTTGCTCTCAAATCCTTGTCTCCAAGTCAGCTTCTGGAAACTGAGCCTAAGACATGATGGCCCCAAGCCTGTAAGCTCTAAGGTTGCCACATCCTCTCTTAGTTCTTAAGTTACTGTCCATGTTGAACTTTCCTTCTGTTAATTTTTCATGGAGTAAATACTTGCTGAAAGTTAGAGCAAGGTGTATGGTGTACTGTGATCACCTAGAGGAAAGATCTGTCCATTCTTGAGTGCGAATAGCAAAGGGGAGAACAGTGTTCCCTCCTGAGGGAGCAGTAATAGTAGCAGTACACATAGACAGCTGTCCCCTGTACAATCTCATGAGGGTCACCTCAGGTGGCCAGATGAAAAGGGACTGAGGCAAAAGACCACCAGGGACCCACCTTGCTTCCACACAAAATGGCTCCCAGGCCCTCAGGCCGGAAGACAGCTTCCAGTCACCAAACCAGGGAGAGAGGCTCCCAGCCACCACAAATTTACATTTAAAAGGAAATTTCAATTTTTATAGGCATGGGGTGATAAGGTCAGAACACCTGAATTTCAGGTGAATTAAGTTTCAATCCACTCTCTCCCTCAGGATAGCAACACCTTCCATGGATGCCTCAGAGAACGATAAAGAAGAACAATGTTCAGCGGGGATGCAGTTCAACTCTGGCATTGTTCATGAACTCCTCTAGAAGAAGTCCTTTCTATGGTGTCAAAGGGTGACTTACAGTGAAGTCAAATAACGCTGAACCCACACAATGCAGGAAAGGCGTGCAGCAAACAGGAGAAAGCAGCGTCATGTCAGTGAACACTAAGATATCCCTGGATGAAGCCTGACACCAAATGTCTAACTACATTAACAAAATACTCTGTCACTCTTTCTCTAATGAAAACAGAAACTTCCTTCCTGCATATTTATATTCTTATACTCTGTCTCCAATTATCTTATGCAACATGGAACAGTCCCTTGAGAACCTAGCTGAATATTTTCAAGTACATATTTTCTCAAGCCATCGTCTCATCAAATAAAGGCCAATATGAGGGCACCTCAAAAAGTCTGTGGAAAAATGGAATTGAAAGATAAGTTGGGGCAGGCATTGGCCTCGTGGTTATTATACAGGATAAGACACTCACATCCCATATCACAGTGCCCAGGATTGAGGCTTGGCTCTGCTCCTGACTCCAGCTTCCTGCTCATGCAGACTCTCGACAGCAGGTGTAATGGCTTAGGTACTTGGGTCCCTCCTACCCACATGGGAGACCTGACTGAGTTCACAGCTCCCAACTTTGGCACTGGCCCAGTCTTGGTCATTGTAGGGATTTGTAGAGTGATGAGAGCTCTCTCTCTCTCTTTCTCTCTCTCTCTCTCTCTCTCTCACTTTCTCTCTCTCTCTCCCTTTCACTCTTGCTATCCATCTTTCTCAAATAATGAATATTTTAAATGATTAGTTTGCTTTGATATAAAAACTGGAAATTCACTTTTTTATAATATACATTTGCCATGAACTCTTTGAAGACTCCCCATATTTTCAAACTCCATGAGACATAACAGACAGCATATCATAGAGCAGACTAGTCTAACATTGCAGCCCGGTTTCCTGGCCTCCCGAAACCAGAGGCCTTCATTACCTTTTCCAAAAAGCAAATTTCAAATAACAACTACTATGCTTCATTTTTCCTTGCACAACACACTCTACTGAAAATGCTCTACCCTAGGTCACAAATGACTTTCTACACCAAAACCAGGAGTCTTCACTCAGTTCTCTTCCTGCTTGCTTTTTCTTCAGTAGTCCATGATACACAACCTTTGCTTTGTTCATCATATTTCAACAAATGTTTGCTTAGTACTTACTATAAACCAAACATTATTGTAAATAACTTGAATGTCTCAGAAAAGACGACACGGCTTCTGCCCTTATGCAGTGTACGTTATAGCAGGAGCTGACATAAACCGGAGGCCTAAGGAAATGATTGGCAATGTTAGTAGACAGAGACCTGCTATGGTCTGAATGTATCCCCCAAGTTTCAAGTGTTGGAATGAAGTCCCCAGTACATCAGTATTGAAATTAGGGGCCTCTGGGAGGTATTGGGTCATAAGGCTCTGACCTCATAATGGGATTGATAGATGAATGGGTCATCATGGGAGTGGCTCTGTTACAGAAGGGAGCTCTATGGCACACTCCTCTGCCTCGCCCTGAGATGCCCTCCATCATGGTTTGATGCAACAAGAGCCTTGCCAGAGACCGAGCAGGTGTTAGCACCGTGCTGCTGGACTTCCCCAGCTTACAGAACTGTGAGCGTTCTCCATGAATTACCCAGTCCATGGTATCCGTTATAGCACCAGAAAACATACTAAGACAAGACCAAAATTCCCTTGAGGGGCAGCAAGGAAAGGCCTTACATTTTGTCAGCAGGGAGGTGTGACTCAGAGGCTAGAGGATGACAGAAAGCTGTGGGACGATGTGAGATTTTCATATGAGTGTCCCCAAAGAGTCTGTAAATGCCTAAACATCACCGAATGCCAAATGTGATTGGATCTCCCTTCGGATACAGAGTCGGAGAATTGCTTAACATCTAGGACTGGCAGGTTCCATTGATCCCTTCAAAGCCAGCCTGCCTCTCTCTCTCTCTCCCTCTCTCTCTCTCCCTCCCTCTCTCCCTCTCTCTCGCTGACACCCCCACATGACGAGTTCTGCCTGGGGGACCACTCAGCCTTCAGTCTGCTCTGCCTCTTGCCACTCCAGTCTTACTCTCCTCCATCTTGGCCCCCATATTGCTCCTTGGGGGCTCGCCCCCTACAAATCAAATGCTATCTCTACCTTTTTTATAAACTAGGCATCCTAACTGGTAGTATATACAGAGAGACTGGCTCACTTGTTAATAGAATCATACCTGGAAAAAGTGCAATGAAGCTGTTTTTTTTTTTTTTTCCCTGAAACAAGAGCAAAATGCTGTCCCTATTACAAGAGAATTAACACACTTTTTACCAGAAGTTGAAATAAACAGCAAAGCCGCTAAGAAACTATGGGTGTTTGATAGAGCTCAACTGAACTGGACAGCAACCCAGATAATCACAAGTGGTTGGTTCTGGGATTGCAGAGCTGACATCAAGCAGGTTACATCACGTGAAGGGCACCCATAGTCTAGAAACTGAGGTGCTACAAATTAATCCCTACATTCAGCAGCTTGACATGGAGAAAAGTGATCGAGGTGTACATCTGCCCAATTAGAAACACAGAATCAACTCCTATTCCTTCACCATAGTGACTTTCGTTTCTGCCCTAAGGGTAGGACAAGGGGCTGTGTGCACAGCCCAGAAGAGACTGGCTCCTTGGGAGACACCCTGAGGCTGGGTTTCTTCCAGGCAGCAGGGCTGAAGGAAGAAGCTGCATTGTGGCTTTGGGGACTTGAGGTCATCATCAAGCAGATGGTGCAGAAAAGCACCAGACCTGAAGGCTAAGTTCATAACAAGAGCAAGTCTCAAGAAGAGCAAGACAGTGGTCAGTGTTAACACCTATTGCCTGCGTGGTTTATGCAAGACGCTAAGCACTCTGCATCCTTTTTATCAATTAGTCTCAGAGATAAGAAGTTGTTATTTCTTTTTCTTTAAATGTTGTGTTTCCCAGTACTCCATCTTTATTTCTTAGTTTTTTTTTGCTGGGCAGATGAGGAACCAGGAGTACATGGTAGAACAACTTTCCTGAACCTGAACATCAAGTGTAAAGGAGTGACTCAAGCCCAAGTAAAAGTAAGGCTGAAAACCAGAGAAACCACAAAGAGGGAGGTCAGGATGGGAAACGGGGCAAGGATGGGTTGCTTCAAGTGGATTAAAACTAAGGTCAGGGGAGTTACACAACACTGAATTCTCCCTTAGCTGTTTCCTGGTGTGTCCTAGAAGTAAGGATGATCATTGAGAGGAACCACACAGGTAATGGAAAAAGCATGCTGATACAAAGGGGTTAAGAATGACATTCTGGGGCCAGTGCTGTGGTGTACTGGGTGAAGCTGCCACCTGCAATGCTGGCATCCCATCCCATATGGGTGCTGGTTTGTGTCCTGGCTGCTCCACTTATCCAGCTCTCTGCTATGGCCTAGGAAAACAGTAGAAGATGGTCCCTGCACCCACTTGGGAGACCTGGAAGAAGCTCCTGTGCTAGCTCCTGGCTTCAGACTGGCCCAGCTCCAGCTGTTGCAGCCATTTGGGGAGTGAACCAGCAGATAGAAGACCTCTCTCCTTCTAACTCTGCCTTTCAGATAAATAAGTAAATTAAAAAAAAAAAAGTATGCTAAGTGAAAGAATCTAGGCACAAGAGCCACAGATTGTATCATTCCATTTATGGTGAATGTGGGGTTTACGCAACTCCATAGAGACAGAAAGGAGACTAACAGATGCCTCGGGCTGGAAAGGTGAAGATTGTGGTGGTGGTGAAAAGGTACTGCAGTGATGGCTGTACAACTCTATGAATACAATAAAATCCATTTAAGTGTATACTTTAATTTTTTTAGTATTTATTTGAAAGGCAAAGTTACAGAGAGACAGAGAGGGACAGCTTTCATCTGTTGGTTCATCTCCCAAATGGCTGCAACAGCCTGGGATGAGCCAGATCAAAGCCAGGAGCCTGGAGCTCCATTTGAGTATCCCATGGGGGTGCAGGGACCCCAGGCACTTGGGCCATCTTCCAGTGCTTCCCCAAGTGCATTAGCAGGGAGGTGGATTGGAAGTAGAGCAGCTGGAGGACTCGAATGGGTGCTCATATGGGATGCCAGCATCACAGGTGGCAGCTTAACCTGCTGAGCCACAATGCTAGGTCCAAATTGTAGACTTTAAAGTTTTATTTATTCGAAATTCAGAGAGAAACTGGGATCTCTCATCCACTGATTTAATCCCCAAATGGCTGGGCCAATCCATACTGACAGCTGGGAGCCTGGAACTAAATCCAAATCTCTCACGTGGATAGCAGGGACTCAATTACTTGACCCATCCCTTGCTGCCTCCCAAGGGCTGCGTAAGGAGGAAGCTGCATTTGGGACTGGGCCAGGACTCGAACCCAGGCATTCCAATATTGGATGCTAGTGTCTTAACTGGCATTTTAACTGCTATGCCAAACACTTATCCTTGAATTAAACACTTTAAATGTATAAAGTATATGATATGTATATTATATAAAAGACATAATTCTGTTAAACAATCACTACAGTTTAATTTTTTAAAAAATCACCACTGCTGAGACTTCCAGAGAAGTGGGACATCGCTTCCAAGTCATCCTCAGATATAGCCCAGTCTGAGAACCACCGAGTCTAAGCTTGGCACCGGCGGAAGGGAAATGACTGATTTTGAGGGAGGCCACACAGAAAGTCTGGCTTACCATGCTTTCCCTCCCTGGGCACTCAGCAGCTGCTCCTTTAGCTACTCCTCCCTGGAATTCTGCCTGGCCCACAGCTAGCAAGAACACCTCTTCCTCTTTCTAAGACGCGCACTGGTTACTCTTCCGGTTTCCAGACACCCTCACTGTTGCCCAGGGGGACTCAGCAGGAACCGGCACTCTCATTTGCAAGGTTCTTTCCGAACATGATAGAACCATGAAGATCTCCACTCAGGTGAAGGCTGCTAGCCACCACCCTTCACTCTTCACTCGCCTGAGGAGAGCACACCTGGGAAAACTCACCACAGACCGTGAGGTCCTTCCTACATTCCTGAACACTGGCTTCCGCTTTATCATGTCATCATGCGGATGCCATCTGTTGGAGTCCTGCTCCACCAAGTGCAGACCTAGGCCCTGCACAGCGGGCCCGTGGCTGGCCTCCTCTGCCTCAGCTGGCCACAGAGTTCAGTGTCCACCAAGAGCCTGAGGGGGTCTCTTGCTTGCCAATTCTGGAGTGCTCATTTTCCCATATAGAGTGGGAAAACCCCAGGATAAATTTCCTGGTTTTTCTTTTTACTACCTCTTGCACAGAGAAGAGTTAAATGCATGAAACCTTCAGCCCTTCCCCAGGGAATGTTCCAGTATCCTAATTCTCAGAATCTTTAAGTTCTGAAGCAGCAAGGTCAGTCTACAGCTAATAATTAAGAACACTGGCCTGGTTATCAGGTAGGATTGCAATGGAATAGTGATTCTGACACTTGGTAGAAGACTGGCTTTGCGCAAATCACGTTGCCTAAGCTTTAGCATTGCCATCTATAAAGTGAAGATAATAAAGCCCACTTCAAAGGACTATTTGAGGAATTCAATTGCCACAGCAGACAGAAAGCACTTGGCTCAGACTGTGTGTGAAATAGATGTTCTGGGGCCGGCGCTGTGGTGCAGCAGGTTAACGCCCTGGCCTGAAGCGCTGGCATCCCACATGGGCGGTGGTTTGAGACCCGGCTGCTCCACTTCCAATCCAGCTCTGTGCTGTGGCCTGGAAAGGCAGTAGAAGATGGTCCAAGTCCTTGGGCCCCTACACCTGCATGGGAGACCCAGAAGAAGCTCCTGGCTCCTGGCTTCAGATAGGTGCAGTTCCAGCCATTGCGGCCACCTGGGGAGTGAACCAGTGGATGGAAGACCGACCTCTCTCTCTCTCTCTCTCTCTCTCTCTCTCTGTGTAACTCTGACTTGCAAATAAATAAATTAATTAATTAATTAAAAAAAAGAAATAGATGTTCTCCCTAGGCAGTTGTTAGACTGGGATATCTAGCCCCTCCTCCAGCAGCCTCTTCCTGGCACACGGGCATATTACCTTCAAACCTTCCAACCCTGGGCACTTGTCTGCAGCCCCCCAAAAGAAAAGTTCTCTAAGGGCATGCAGAGGGAGGGACCCCTCCTCACAGTCTCCCGCACCAGCACCCCTAGTTTTGGGGTGCACTTGAAATGTTCTTAGAGCTTTTGCCCAGGCCCATACCCACTGCCCTGCCCCTCCTGATCCCTCCTTCCTAAATCTGGGAGCCACTCCTGGAGATAGGATTTACTAGACTCTTCACAAAGTGTTGAAATACCTGAATTTCACCACATGTTTTCTTGCCAATAAACTCAGGAATCCTGTCTCAGAATGGGCTACATTTTTCTTCCAACTATTTATAGCAAATTTATCATTTAGGATCACTTGGAATAGAATTTGTTGCTCAACACAGCATCTGGTATCTGGCAGGAAGTTTGGAATAAATCATTAAGTAGCAATTAAAGCTCCACCTATTGAAATCCTCCTACCTAGATTAAATCCTCCTTTTATATTGTCTTATCAGTTAGAAATGGTTTCTTCTACCCTCCTTCCACATTCCTATAACAGCTATCTTTATTGAAAGCTTTTTACATTTTTTATTGTTTAATTTTCCTTTTATTTGAAAGGCAGAGGCAAAGAAAGAGACTTTCATCAAGTTTATTTTTCAAAAATAACTGCAATAAGTGCCTTAGTATAAAAATTTTAAAGTCCAATATTATTAGTTTTCCAATTTAAGATGAAGCATTCTATTTTTAAAAATCCACTGTAGAAACATTTATAATTCAATGTAAAATAACTACTTAGCAAAAATGCATGTAATTCTTTGATCCTACTGTCATAAAAAATTCTTATGTTTTAAATTCTCTTTATTCAAACATTGACATAGAACCAACTACAGGATTTATCAGACCTGCTCTAACCACTTAACAGAATGTTAACACCATCTCATGCTGATCTGCTGGTTTAGTTCCCAGCAACAGCCAGGACTAGACTAGGCCATAACCAGGAGCCTGGAACTCCAACTGGGTCTTTCACACGGGCGGCAAGAACTCAAGTACTTGAGCTTCGTCTGCTGCCTCCCAAGATACATATTATGCATATTAGCAGGAATCTGGATTGGCAGTGGAATTGCCAGGACGCAAATCGGACACTTCAATATGGGATGTGGGCATCCCAAGCAGTGACTTAAGCTGATATACCAATGCATACCCCAATTGATTGCTTATTAATTGTTCTAAGATCACACAGCTAATAATTAGCAAATCCAGAATCCAATTGTATTGGATAGCACCTCCCCAAAATTCACATCCACTAGAGGCCCAAGGCCCAGAATGTGGCCTAATTTGAAAAGAATGTCTTTACAAACACAATCAAGTTATATGAGATAATAGGGGTTTGGGGAGGGCCTTAAATCCAATGACTGGTGTCTTTAGAAGAACAAAATTTGGACACAAAAACATGGGAGCAAACATGGGGAGAAGGCTAAGTGAGGATGGAGATGGGGACTGGTGTTCTAAGCCACATGCCCAGGACCCCCGGCAGCCATGAAAAGCTAGGAAAAGCCAAGGAAAATCCTCCTCTACAGCTTTCAGAAATGGATGGTTCTGCCCATTTAGGATTTCTAGTCTCCAGAATTATTAGAAAGTATATTTGTTGTTTCAAGTCATCTCATTTGTGGCAATTCGTGAAGGCAGCCATAAGAAATTGACAACAGCCTAGGTCTGTCAGATGCCTAGCATGCTCATTCTTTCATTCTATTTTATTTATTTGAAAGGAAGAGTTAGAGAGAGAGAGAAGAGACAGAGAGAACTTCCATCCTCTGATTCACTCCCCAGATGGCTGCACCAACTGGAGCCAGGTCTCCCAAGTAGGAGGGCAGGGGCCCAAGCACTTGGGCCATCTTCTGCCGCCTATCCAGCCACATTAGTAGAGAGCTGGATGGGAAGTGGAGCATTCAGGACTCAAACTGGAACCCATATGTGATGCTGGTGTCACAGCTGGGAGCCTAACCCACTACACCACAATGCCAGCCCCCAAGAATGCTCATTCCTAAGGGCTATGATAGGCAGCCTTATTTATTGGATGCCTTGTGCATTTATCAGAACATTTATCAGATACCTTGTGCAAGGATACTTTAAAAATTCATGGAAAATATGCATAATGGAAAAACCTGGGCCACTTCTGTGGCACAGTGGGTAAAGCCACCGCCTGCAGTGCCAGAATCCCATATGGGTGCAGTTCAAGTTCCAGTTGCTCCACTTCCGATCCAGCTCTCTGCTATGGCCTGGGAAAGCAGTGGAAGATGTTCCAAATCTTTGGGCCTCTGCACTCACATGGGAGATCTGGAAGAAGCTCCTGGCTCCTGGCTTTGGATCAGTGCAGCTCTGGCCGTTGTGGCCAGCTGGGGAGTGAACCAGCAGATGGAAGACCTCTCTCTCCCTCCACCTCTCTGTAACCCTACCTTTCAAGTAAATAAATAAATCTTTAAAAAAAAAAAAACCTTATGGATGGACTTCAAATTTTTGCACTAGAATAAATTTAGCTTTGAGTTCCATTTTTCCATAAATTTTTTGAAATATCTTCATATTTCATAGTAGGCAGCGTTTGGTGAAAAGTCAGGAAAGAGGTAAGAGGAAGAATTATTGCAAGGAAGAGAAGAATTGGCACAGCTGTTTCTTTGAAAATATGCACAACCTTCATGACAGGCTGACTCTGTGATTCTGCAGAGAAAGGAAAACAAGTTTACCAATGAATGAAACAGGATGCAAGATGCAAGAAGAAAGCAAGAAGGCTTGGAAAAGCAGGCTGGCCACGGCCTGGCTCTGCGATTACGCACATGGCATTCAGATGTGCTTGCCTTGATCCATGCAAAAGGCCTTGGGAACATTGATAATTCGATTAAAAATCAAAATATTAAACAGTCATGTGTAAAAAATTCCCAAGATCCTCACTTAGTCTCGGCCACTCCCTGATCCTCATTCCACAAGTCCTACCCCTGACATAGAACAGACACTTGCCTTTTTAGTTGACTACACAAATCAGGGAATGAATACAGAGAATGGAAGAAGACTGAAGGTGTTAGAAATGCAATGATGTCGAGGGCAGGGAAAGAGACAGACGGCAAGGGACATGAAAGGCATGAGAATCAGAGATGTCGGCTATCAGCATTTGATAATCATAAATTGGGACAGAAGCCAAGGTGACAATTTTTCTATGTCTCTTCAATCCTAATAGTGAGCACAGGGTGTTTGTGATAGTCTCCCTTACAGCTTGGTGGGTTTAAAATGTTTCATGTTTAAAGAACAGCACGGCAGCAAACTCAGAAATGGCAGCATTGAAACAGGTGCGTCAGACTGGCAGCATCCACATCGCCTGCTTCGGTGGCAGCTGAGTCCTCTCCTGCAGCAGAGCTGAGACGGCTCATTCCCAGTGCAGCCCCTGTGAAGAGAACCTGCAAGTACACACAAAGGAACCACACAGGACTCACTGACTTGCGCTTCGTACTCCCACTCCTGGGAAATTACACAAAGGAAATGATAACGCGAAAGGACTAAGGGTGGGTAATGCAGAGATGAAAAATTTTGTGACAATTTTCCTATAACAATGAAAACTTGGGAACAAGTTGAGCTGACAATGAAGAGTACTCACCGCTGCTTCCTGCCCTGGTCACAGCATCCTGATCTCTGCCCGCAGGGCTGGTAGCCTCCAGCTGGTCTCTCTGCCTCCCCCACAGGCTTCTTGTTAACAGCCAGAGGGATCCTTTTAAAACAAAGCAATATTGCTTCTCTGCTTCTCTTCAAAATGTCCTCCGCACCCTTACTGCTGGCCCCCTGGTCTGAACCACTGCCTCCTGGGGCCTGGATTGCGGCGACCGCTCTCTCAGTGGTCTCCGCTCTGCCACCTTTCTTGGCACAACAGTGAAAGTGATCCTTCTCAAATCATAAATCGGATCATGCCACTCTGCTGCTCAGAACCCTCCAGTGGCTTCCCGTCTGACTCAGAGCAAACCCAAATGACTCAGAGCAAACCGGGGTGAATCTGTACATTGGCACAAAGTGGTTCATCTCCTTCCCCGGGCATCAGCTGCTTTTGGTCAGCTGCTCCCCTTACTCATCCGGCTCACTCCCTTCCTTTAAGCACTCAATCAAATCCCTCTCTCAGCGAGGTCTTTACTGACCACCCTGCGGCAGGGGTTACCACTCCGTTCAGCTTCATCTCCCTGGTTTGATCTTCTCCTCTTAGCATTCATCATCTTCTAATAGATGAAATAACTTAGATAAAATGTGTCACATGCCTACTGCCCCCGCCCCCAACAAGCATACGGTTGAACAGAAATTCCCCACAGAAAGGGACTCCTGTTTGGCTCACAATTCTTTCCCCAACACCTAGAACGGTGTCTGGCACATTGCAGTCATTTGTATTAGTTCATTTTCCCATCACTGTATTAGTATCGGAGGCTTAGCACCTTACTCAGATGAGGGGTTTCCTTAGCTCACAGTTTTGGAGCTTCCGGGGCACGGCACCGGCACGGGCTCAGCTCTGGCGGGGACCTCATGGCATCGCGTGTGGAAGAGGAAGAGCTCACCTGGTGAGAAAGGTAGCCAGCGAGAGCACAAACTAACTGGGGTCCCGTGAGAACAAACTGCATCTCTCCCAAAGGCACATCCCAGGGACCTAAGGGCCTCATACTAGTCATCCACTTTTTAATTATTTTAGTTTTATCTTATAACTTCTTTTGAAAGTCACAGTTCTATAGAGAGAAGAAGACAGAATCATGTGCTGGTTCACTCCCCAAATGGCTATACCATAGATAGGTCTGGACCATGCCAAAGCCCAGAGCCAGGAGCTTCTTCCAGGTCTCCCACATGTTGGCAGGGGCCCAAGGACTTGGGCCATCCTCTGCTGCGTTTCCCAGTCCACCAGCAGGGAGGAGGATCTGAAGTGGAGCAGCGAGGATACAGACTGGCGCCCATATGGGATACTGGTGTCACAGGCAATATCTTCACCTGCTATAACAATGACAACTCCCAACCACCTTTTAAAAAAATTATTTTCATTTATTTGAAAGGCAGATAGAGACAGAGACAGAGAAATATCTTCTATCTGTTGGTTCACTCCCCAAAGGCCTTCAACATCCAAGGCTGAGCTACTCAGGGCAAGGAACTCAGTCCAGGTCTCCCATGTCAGTGACAGGGACCCAAGTAAGTACTTGAGCCATCACCTGCAGCATCCAGCAAGAACATTAACAAAAAGCTGGACCAGGAAGCAGAGCCGGAGATAGGAACCCAGGCCCTCTGATATGGGATGTGGGTGTGGGTGTGCCACAAAGATTCTTAACCGTTGCACCAGACTCCCACCCGCAGCCTTACCTCTTACAGGTCCCACCATCTCTTGATGTCACCACACAGGGGCTACTCAAGCTTCCCACACACGAACCTTTGGGGCAGCAATCACATCCAAACCATAGCAACATTCAATAAGTGTTTGTTAAATGAAAGAATGTACTGTTAAGTCAATCGAGTTATACCAAGATGATGGAAGATAAAGCAATCAGCAAAACTACTCGCATTATGCATCACCGTGGAAAAAAACATTCTCATGATATGACAAAAGGTTAATGTGAAAACCAGAGTCCTTGTGTTATTATCAAAACTGTAATGGCCTGGCTTTTGCAACATTGTTCTTTCCTGTCCCTTCCCTTAAATATTGGCTTTCCCAAATTTGTCCTTGGTTCTCTTGTTGTTTTTCACTGGTCATCAGCCTCCTCCCATAAAATAGAGAACTCTTACACTGCCTAAAAATATCAATGAGGACTCAACAAATGTTTGAATAATAAAAGAAAATAAATAATAAAAGAAAATAAATGATACATTGTACGCTGTGTGCCAAGTACCTCTAAAAACTTTTCATCTACTCCCAGCAGCCCTGTGAGTGAAGCACAGGTCCCTTACCAGATCAATAAACGCGAATAACTTGCATACAATGAACATTAAATCAGGTATTAAAGCGGTAGGGTTGCGGGTGGTTTCCTTTTCTCTTTCCAAAATTTCTTTAATGTAGGTGTGTGTTCGTGGCAAAGAATATGAAAACCTTGAATGGGCAAACACAGCAACCGGAAACTGTAGAGCACTGTCTGGGAAAAGGGGAGGAACCGACGGCAGTGAGAAGCCGACACTCACCGAGGCGAGCAGCCCGTGCAGGCCGCGGGCCCGCCCACGGAAACGATTCCTTTTGGAGAAGTCCACCCGCGGCAGCTCTCAGACGACCTCCGGAGGCGTGGCTTGAGGTGATGTCAACCACGGTGGCCCCACCCAGGAAAGGCTCCAGCCGGGGGCGGGGCAGGAGTGGCCTGGGGCTGGCACCCATTGGCCGCCGCACAACGGGGCGGGCCCTATCGACGGACCGCCTTCCCGAGGGCTGGCGGGCCGAACTCCAAGCTCCGCGTCGCCGCGCCTGGTTTCTGCAGCGCCGTCGGTCCCGGAGACGGAGCCGGAAGCGCTAGGCTTTGAACCCCGATCCCTTCTGCTTTTCAAGGGGTACCCGAATCGCCCACCATAATCTGCCCCTCGTCCTTTCTCCCCCAATATCCCGAGACTGGTCCCCAGTTTGGGCGGGGCGGTGCCGTCAGAGCTCTCAGACCCGGAAGCAGCGCGGGGTCGCGCCTCCGCCATGGAGCCCACCGCGCCGTCCCTCACTGAGGAGGACTTGACTGAAGTGAAGAAGGACGTGAGTAGCCGGGGCGCCGCGGAGGGCTCTGGGCCGGCGGGGTCGGGGCGGGCCGCGGCCCCGCCGGAGAGGAAAGCGGAAACCCAGTGTCGGGGGACTAGGAGGAACCTCCAGGGCGGAGGAACGGAAGGTCCAGGCAGGGGAGGGCGGCTGTGCGCTCTGCAGCCGCGGTGCCTCGGGGGAAGTGACCCCCGCCTCCGGGGACCTGTTGATCCGTGTTTTTAAAATCGCCACGCGCAGAGCTTGAGATCTTGAGATCTTGTCCCGCGGGGCGTTTCTCGGCAGCCCGCTTCTTGCTTGCTGCTCACCCATCCCCGCATGATCCCCTCGGCCTCGCGGGCTCGTGGAGCTGCGTTCTTAAGAGATCGGCGGCTCGGGCTCAGCCCGGATCAGGCTCAGCCCGGGCCGCCGTCTCACCTAAAGCACAAGCTGGACCAGTCGGAGGATCCAGCGGGTGAAACTTTTGCAGCGGGGTCTGGGGGAAGCTCAACAGCTGAAAGCACAGCTTGGAATTCCCCTAGTAAGCAAACGCCCACATATTTAAATACGGGGAGAGGCGTGAACCCACGTTGCTCCGTTCCTTTACAAATCAGCGTTGAAAATATCCAGGAGCTTCTGCCTGGAGGATGCAGAGCCGCACAGACCTTAATATTTATTTGTAAAAAGTGGCCTTGTTGAGGTATTACTTGTTTGGTTTTTCTTTGCCAGGTGAGGCCTGGGTGAGTACTACTGCGAAGGTATTTTATGTTAATTCGAATTAAAAACAAATTCACACCACAGGACTTCTGCAGAATCACTTGTGGACAGGACACAATTCTGAAATGTTCCTCCACCTCCAGTCCGCTGCCCTCCCCGGAGGGTGTATTACTGTGAGCTGGCAGTTGGCAGTTGGCACGACTCCCTGGCAGAAGGGAACGGTAGGGTGGGACCAGTGCCTTAGTTTCCTCACGCAGCAGAGGCCCCCAAGAGCACTTGGCGTGTGTAGAGTGCTGTCCTTGCATGCCCCTGCTGTAGGCTCCTAGTTGAGGTAGGACTACCACAGGTTGAGTACTCCTTATCTGAAATCATTAGGACCAGAATTGTTGCAGATTTCAGGATTTGCGTATCCGTAATGAGAAATCTTGGGGATAGGGACTCAAGTTGAAACTTGAAAATCATTTATGCGGGCTGGCATTGTAGTGTTGTGGGTTAAGCCGCAACCTGCAGTACCAGCATCCCATATTGGAGCACCAAGTCGAGTCCTTGCTGCTCTTTGTCCAATCCAGATCTCTGCTAAGGACCTGGGAAGGCCGTGGAAGGTGGCCCAACTGCATGGGCCCCTGACACCCATACAGGAGACCTGTATGGAGCTGCTGGCTGCTGGCTTATGCCTAGTCCAGTCCCAGGTGTTGTGGCCATTTGGGGAGTGAATCAAGCAATGGAAAATCTTTCTCCCCCTCTCTGGTATCCATCTTATCCACATAATCCGAAGGTAATTTTGTACCTTATGTTTTATATGCCTTTGTTTTGGCTGCCCCATTATTACATGAGGTCAGGTGTGGAATTTTCCACTTGTGTCACAGCAATGCAGATATTGGAGGAGTTCAGATTTCAGAGAGTCAGATTAGGAATGTTCAGCCTATAGAAAGTAAACAAGCATTGTCTCATTCACAACGATTGCCACTAAAGCCATGCATTTCAAGAGATAGGCCTATTATGTTCCACAATTTATGATGTTACACAACTTACAGTGTTCCTACTTAAGCTTTATGACTTCCTGTAAAGGAGATAATGGCCATTCTCCCTTTACAAATGATAAAACCAGTGTGATTACAAATGAGAGGAAATAAGACCTGTACACACATACAGATGGGAGAGTGGCTTCTGGGCCTTTATTTTTCTCTGATGGTTCACTGATGTTATCCATTTCTGTGATTTCAATTTATCCCTGTATCAGAAATATGTATCCTTGGAGTAGGGGTTGTGGCACAGCAGAGTAAGCTATCACCTCGGATACCTGCAGCCCATATCACGGTGCCTGGGATGGAGTCCCGACTTCCTGCTAATGTACTTGGGAGGAAGCAGATAATGAATCAAGTACTTGGATCCCTGCCACACAATTGGGAGACCCTGGTGGAGTTCCTGGCTCTGGCTTTTGCCTGAGCTATTGTTGGTATTTAAGAGTGAGCCAGTGGATGGAAGATTGGTATCTCTCTCTATCTCTCTCTCTCTGCCTCCGCCTTTTAAAAAAAATCAAAATTAATAAACATTTCTTTAAAAAGAAGTAAATATATAACCTGGAGGAAAACTTAAATGGGTTTCAGGAGGTTTGTGAAAAAAAAAACATGTGTTTGGTTTGGTTTGTAGATTTTTTTCCCATGACATTTTCAACATGGTCTGCTGTATGCAGTACCCCCTCTTTAGTTGCTTGGTAGTCATCCCAGTAACCAGCAACTGTGGCAGTGTCACAGTTCTTGTTTCAGGCGTCCACTGGGGGTCTTAGAACATAACTGCCTCAAATAAGGTGGGACAGGTGTACCAACACCCATCCTCCTGGCCACTCCCCCTCGCGCTTTCCTTCTCCTTCGCTTCTCCATCTGATTGTTTACCTCATCTTTTTGATTGCTTTTAATTCAGTTTAATAAATGAAAAATGCATACTACTGTAAGACTGATGCTGTAGTTGTTTCCAACAGTTCAAAAATTAAAACTAAGACACAATCCTAATTTAGAAAGAACTTGATTTCTTAGGGGTAGGGAGACAAATATAAAATGACATACATCTTAAAAATATATTTATTAGACTGAGAGCTGCCATCTGCTGGTTCATTCTACTGGGTCTCAGTCCAGGTCTCCTATGTGGTATCAGGAATCCAGCTTCTTGAGCCATCACCTGCTGCCTTGCAGGGTCTATGTTCTGCATCAGCAGGAAGCTGAAATCAGGAGCCAGAGGTGGGACTCAAACCCGGTCACTCTGATATGGGATGGGGCACCTTAACTGGTATCTTAACCACTGGACCAGATTCCGCCCCTAAAATAATCCTTTTAACTCACAGAATGAGTGTAGTGAATTTTGCATTCACCCCAAATAGTTGGCCCTGTGGTAAGGATAGTGTACACAGAGTGTTGAACAAAACATGCCTGGTTCTGGGGACTGGTGTTATGGTACAGGGGGTTAAGCCATTGCCTGCAACACCAGCATCCCATATCAGAATGCATGTGTGAGTCCTGGCTGCTCTGCTTCCAATCTGGCTCGCTACTAATGACTTGAGAAGGCAGTAGAAGATGGCTGAAGTACTTGGGCCCCTGGAAGACCTGGATGTAGTTCAGGCTCCTAGCTTCAGCCTGGCCCAGTCCTGGTTCTTGTGGCTCTTTGGGGACTGAACCAGCAGATGGAAGATCTATCTCTCTCTCTGTCACTCTACCTTTGAAATAAATACAAATAAAATCTTAAAAAAAAAAAAGCTTGCCTGGTTCTTGCCAGGTGGGCAAACATTTAAGTCATTAGACTTGGAAACACATAAATGTTTAATTATAAATATAAGTGCTGACTGGCCCCGCAGCTCAACAGGCTAATCCTCCGCCTGCGGCGCCGGCGCACCAGGTTCTAGTTCCCGTCAGGGCGCCGGATTCTGTCCCAGTTGCCCGTCTTCCAGTCCAGCTCTCTGTTGTGGCCAGGTAGTGCAGTGGAGGATGGCCCAAGTGCTTGGGCCCTACACCCCATGGGAGACCAGGAGAAGCCCCTGGCTCCTGGCTTCGGATCAGCGTGGTGCACCAACCGCAGCGTGCCAGCCATGGTGGCCATTGGAGGGTGAACCAACGGAAAAGGAAGACCTTTCTCTCTGTCTTTGTCTCTCACTGTCCACTCTGCCTGTCAAAAAATAAATAAACAAATAAATAAATAATAAGTGCTATGACAGGGACAAACATATGCTGAGGCAATAATAGGAAATCTTCTTGAGATAGGATGGTCAAGGGAGGTTACATTTAAACTGATTCCTGAAGAATATGACAGAACTGAGGAAGAACATTCTAGACAGAATAGAATTTGCCATGCACCATAAATAGGCAAGACCTTTGTGACTTGGGGAAATTGGAAAACAGGTTAGCCTGAGTTAAGGTCAGAAAGTAGAGAGAGCCACTTCGTGAAGGGTGTTTTTTCCCTAATGGGGATTTATTGAACAATTATGTTCTACTTTTATTTATTTATTTATTTATTTTGTTGTTGTTTGACAGGCAGAGTGGACAGTGAGAGAGAGAGACAGAGAGAAAGGTCTTCCTTTTCCGTTGGTTCACCCTCCAATGGCCACTGCGGCCAGCACACCGTGCTGATCCGAAGCCAGGAGCCAGGTGCTTCTCCTGGTCTCCCATGAGGTGCAGGGCCTAAGGACTTGGACCATCCTCCACTGCACTCCATGGCCACAGCAGAGAGCTGGCCTGGAAGAGGAGCAACCGGGACAGAATCCGGCACCCCGACGGGGACTAGAACCCGGTGTGCCGGCGCCGCAAGGCGGAGGATTAGCCTAGTGAGCTGCGGTGCCGGCTGCACTCTAGTTCTGTATCCACATCAAGCCAAACTTCCTTGGTGATTCATGAGAAGCACCACCAGTGTCCTGAGAGTTACTCTGTGTCCTCTCCGCCCGCCCTGAGAATCCACTGGAGGAGGTGGTCCCTCAGTGCCAGGATTGGACTGGCAATAGGAGATGTGATTCCAGCAGTGAAGGTGAAGAAATCCGAGTAGCAGAACTACTCAGACAGGATCCAATGGAAAAGGGTTCCTGGGAGCAGTCAAGTTGTGCCTGCTGCTTTAGAGACTAAGGAAGGGGGAATTGGAATTTAAAAAAAAAAAAAGTGTTCTTTTCCTTCATAATGCCATAAAAAAAGAACTACTGTGTTTATTTCTTAAGATATATTTATTGGCCGGCGCCGCGGCTCACTAGGCTAATCCTCCACCTAGCGGCGCCGGCACACCGGGTTCTAGTCCCGGTTGGGGCGCCGGATTCTGTCCCGGTTGCCCCTCTT